CGATAAAAATCGGTAGCAATCAAGTGATTTTGATCGATTGATAACGGAAATCGGAGAAAATCGATAAACTTAATTGCTGTATATCGATTTTTTTGTGATTTTAACGGTAACGATAACGGAAATCCACCATTGTTTTTTGGCGTAAGTTGGACAATACACAGAGTGCAGCTGAGAAAACATAAACTAGTAACAACTGATCAGCAAACATGAAAAATGAGAAATGTAGAAACTATCACACACACAACTTTCCCTCTAAAACCCTTAATTTGTACAGATAACAAAAGTGGTTCGGTTTAATTACATTCAGTTCTCGCAGGTGCACAGATCACGAGAAATACAACCTTAGATAAATATTTCTTAGCCTGAATTTTAGACATTTCTTCGAGTCGAATGGGCGTCTGAAATTTAGGCTAAAAGGTTTCCCTCGACAGACTACTCCGGGAGCATAACAATGAAGCATGCACAAATGCAATCTGATTTATTAAAGCTTTAACCCTTTTATGAACAACTTTGGCATTTAACTTTTTTCACTCTTGATAATGATGTTCGAAATTACAAATTTTTAAGTTCTGATTTCACACTTCTCCTGAAATGTACGGCTCTTGTAGATGACAACTGTTCCTTAAATATATATTTTTTTCAAATCTTTGATGAGTATGTTTGTCCACTTATAGCTGACGTATAGCTCTTAATTACAAAAAGCTCACAAAAAAACCTTTATTCATTCTGCAGATGCATCTAAGACAATAACAAATTTATCTTTAGGGCTGCAGTGGTAGTCTAAAGCTTCAAAGTTCTTACTCTAGATTAGTCTAGAGCTGTAGCCTCCCAGCTCCTCCCACCCACACGCTCTCGTGGTGGAGAAAGAGCGCGTGACGAAGCCCTAAAAAAGTCTGCATGGGAGGCTACTGGAGGTTTTGGCTTAATTTTTTCAAAATATTTTACACTCTGTTCTCACTTTAGGTCATAATATTGAGTTTGGGGAGGTTAAGTGGGCAGTTTCCCCAGAAGGTTTGATAAAAATCGCCGGTGAAAAGTTTGGAGCTTATTTGACTATTGGTTCAAATTATGTCTTGAAGGTCTTCCTTGATGGCTTCTGCTCCGACATTAGCCCCATTTTCCAAGGAGACGACAAATTATGCTAGACTATGTCGACTTTTATTAGACGGGGGTACCAAGGCTTTAAGGCACACTTTTGACAGCTTCTATCCTCCAGCAACTCTATATGGAGTTTTGAACAGCCCTCAAGTATCTTCAACGCTGCAGTTACTTAAAAAAAAGAAAATTATCCATGCCACACAATGGAACAAGCTATATCCCTCTCCTCCTTCGTCCGTAAAGTCAGAAGACTTTGACATCACGCTTCTAATGGTGCTCGTCAGGAACATCTGTCCCCTCAACCCGCCTGCTACGGGATGGGACAGTCTTTCACCCAGTTCAGACACCAGTGTTGAGGCTAACATAGCCAGAGTGAAGTACTATAGAAATAAAGTCTATGGGCATGCCATCCAGGC